AAAAAGTTAGTTTTTAAATGTGTCAATGTAGAATAAATTCTGACGGACGGTAACAGATAGGTAGAAGATTGTGTAATAGGAGACGTTATTTTGTTTCTTAACGACCGATTGTGGAATTATAATTTGACTACATTATTATTAATTTTATTTTATTCTATTTTATGCTCTTTATTAAATGTATAATTTGTCATGTGTATGTAATCTGGACGAGGTATATAATCCTAGCTTTCTATTGAAGTCGGGTTTTTCCTTTTCCCCCGATGTTTTATAATTTACTAAAAAACTAGCCGTCCTGCCAGGCCCTGCTCTGGCTTCTGTGAAAAACCTTTCTGTTAAAGACCATCACCTGTGTGTTTAGTAATCATCATAAACCCGGCACTGCCCACCCAAGCCACAACCAACCAAAACAACAAAACGCAAACATAACGCTAACACAATTACAAATACAAACGAAAACAAAAACCTAACAACAAACACAACCACAACCACAAACACCAATACAAACACAAAGAAAAAGCAAACAAAAAAGCAAACGAAAACAAAAACCTAACAACAAACCCAAACACAACCACAAACACCAATACAAACACAAAGAAAAAGCAAACAAAAAAGCAAACGAAAACAAAAACCTAACAACAAACCCAAACACAACCACAAACACCAATACAAACACAAAGAAAAAAAAAGAAAAAGCAAACGAAAACAAACCTAATCCAAACGCAAAACCAACCACAAACACAAATACAAACACAAACCCAAAGAAAAAAAAACACAAACGAAAACAAAAAAGGAAAAAGAAAAACGAACCAAATCAAAAAGCAAACGCAACCACTAACGCAAACCCAACCTTAACACAAAGAAAACACTAACGCGAACATAAACGCAATGTGCTCACAGTCTAGCCCGGGGCGCCAAATCGCACCATGCTGGGGCGCCGGCGGAATCGCCTGTTTCAGCTTAATAAACAACTATAGTACCACAACTTATTCATAGTCTTTTGCACTCACTTAAACAAACGTAGGCGCCAAACCGAGCACGGGAGGCCCGGGGCCCCAAATAGCACCCTGTCTGGGCGCCAGAGGTCGCCCGGATTAGATTCACTTAAAGACTATAATAACCTTTCTTATGCATAGTCTATCGCACTGTTTAAAGCGAAATTATGGACCATAAAACATACAGAATTTAACTTTATATATTAGATTAAAAATAGATAAATTAAAAAAAAAATTATTATTATAATATTAATAATAAGCAGTAATAAAAATTATCGGGAGGAAGCTATTCAAATTACCCATGCAATCATGCGGGCGCCCATATGAATAGAGTTTTAAATTATATTAAACGTATTTGTTAAATGCCATTGAATAATTCAGCTCTGATAAGTACCTGACTCACGTTATGTTAACAAAAGCGGCTTGTCATAGGGCGGACCACATTATACCCTTACGCGCCGCGAACATTGAAACAGATGAACTCTACTTCACCTGCCTCATATGTCTAGGGCACGACCGAGAATAAAATGATGATATTGAATAAAAGAGTTCCCCCGTAAACCTCTATAAGCACACGCTCCTGTTTGAGAATAGTTTATTTATGCTCGTTTATTCTCAGGTGTGTAGTGTTGTCACCTGTGTAATGTGTTCCTGCGACACCTGTCGCGGTGTCAAAGACAGTCACCGCCATTAAAGTTTTGTTATTGTCAGACACGCAGCAGCTGACAGGTAAACTATTGTTGTGTTCTGGCGTGTGTGTGTGTGTGAGTGTGAGTGCGAAATGTGTGCGTGCGTGTGTGTGTGTGTGTGAATGGTGTGTGTGAATGGTGTGCGTCTGTGTATGTACGTACTTCTATTTTGTATGTGTTTTATGGTTGTGCTAAGTACCGTGTGTGTGTGTGTGTGTGAATGGTGCGGGTATGTGTACGTGCTTAGTTGTGCATGTTTTATTGGTGTGCTAAGTAGTGTGTGTGTGTGTGTGCATGCATATGTCGTGTACATGTTTTGTTTTAAGCGTGAGTGTAAGTGTGTAAATGTATGTGTGTGTGAATGGTCTGGGTATGTGTACGTGCTTAGTTGTGCATATGTTTTATTGGTCTGCTAAGTAGTGTGTGTGTGTGTGTGTGTGTGTGCATGCGTATGTTGTGTACGTGTTTTGTTTTAAGCGTGAGTGTGAGTGTGTAAATGTATGTGTGTGTGAATGGTCTGGGTATGTGTACGTGCTTAGTTGTGCATATGTTTTATTGGTGTGCTAAGTAGTGTGTGTGCATGCATATGTTGTGTACGTGTTTGTTTTAAGCGTAAGTGTGTAAGTGTGTGGCTGCTTGTATCTTTTACGTGTGTGAATGCGTGTTTAATAGTGTGTATTTATGTACGCAAAACGTTACTCATACATTCACGTGCTTGTACATTCTACATGCGCGTGAGTGTATCGAGTATGCGCGCATCTGTTTACTGGTTGTATCTAAATTGTGTTGTGTATCTGAGTATCTGCAACCTCAACGAACACAATGTGTTGAATAAAGTACATTGTTTGCTTGAGTTTAAAAATCTCTAAGTTGGGACACACTTTCCCTTTCTTATCAGATAAGAAATTTCATTTGACGTTCTATGTAGCTCTCCTTAATCTTTGACTAAAAGAGCAGGTTTATGATTGTTGTGTTCATATGATAATTACAAAACATTATTCTATTTTTAAAATAAACACTAATATTAATTTAAAGCGCGAATCGGATTAATATATGTATATTAATCTTTGCTTTATTGATTTTTTATTAAGGTGGCTTTCAACTAGTTAGGTTGTATTTATTTATTTATTTAGTTATATTGTTGATACATTTTTTTATAAAAAGATGAATAATACAACTCATTTTCGCTGACATTTATCATTATGCTAATTTAAATTATTCGATGTAACAATTTAGGGTTTTATTATTTTTTAAACTAATCATCCACCAGATATTTACACCAATACTCAGCAAGCCTATTTAGAGTCATTCATCTGACGCACTTTGTTTAGTAAGCTAATACGTACCAATCGAGACCGCAACAGTTGAAAGCCACTTATCTATATAGGAGCTCAGTTCAAAACATATCCTGGTCTAAGCCATTCCGAGGGTAGCAATTAAAGGGCAAACATGGCGCACCTACAATGGAATATTTATTTGTTCTCTTCAATTTTAGGTAAGTTTTTTAAAGACGTTTTTATTAGTACGATTTGAATAGTGTTAAATTTATTAAAAATCGAATTACTTGTATCTTTTCGTTTGTAGTTTAACGCATTGTAGTTTAACACATATGGTAGTGACATCATGGTGTCATATTATGTTAGTGACATGTTGGTCTCATGACAGGTTAGTGACAGCTTCGTATCATGACATTGGTATGACATCATGGTGCCGTCACATTTTCGTGACGTCATTATTTAATGTGTAACAGGGAGTCATTATTCATTAGTATTATCATGGTGGCATGACATATTAGTGACATTTTCATAAATGTTAGTGTGACCATGTTGTCATGAAATATGTATGACGTAATGGTGTCAAGACGTGTTAGTGACATTATATTATGAGAATGAGAAGTTATATATATATATATATATATATATATATATATATATATATATATATATATATATAATCACGTGTCGTCATATATACGAGGGTGACGAAATAGTATAATGACAGTTAGGACATAAGCCTACTGAGATCATGTTATATTTGGCACGTGACATGATGACGTCATATTTAATTGCGTAACTTGATACGGTTAAGTTGTACTGTATGTTCGGTATATGAGTCATTTTTATTTTCGTGTACCACACACCTCAAACAAATATAATGTGTGTGTGTGTGTATCAAACGAGTGAAGAGTTCGTTAGTAAATTAAATATAAACGATATGCGTTAGTGGCTGGTTTGGGGAAATCGTAAACAAAGCTGATAAAATGATATTAGGATACTTTTGCCCCTATTTTCTTTTTACATTTAGGCCTTGAAATTAGGGTAAAATTTTTATTGGGTACACAGTAGGGGAGGGGGAAACATTGAGAGACACGTCTGTATTGACATGTATCTCGCATTATTAAATACATAGTATGAGCAATTGTTGGTTTAGTACTTGTTTTCTTTATACAGCCAATGTTTCATTAATATACGAGCGCACATTTCGGTCGATGTTAATGAAGTCATCGATCACTACCAATAAAAAGTAATGTTAGATGATTTACTACGTTGTGATAGCCTACATCGTGATGCTGGTTGCTGATTTAGTTCATCATCGCTGTCCACGATATCTGGATTTAATCTATGGGCGGCCAGGGTAGTGCGAGTACCTTAGTGGGGTACAGCTCACATATGTGACCAGACCAATAGCCCGGTCAGTGTGAGTACTTCTGAGTTCTTTATCTCAAACCTGTGACCTGAGCAACATTCAGTCAAGGGAGAGCACCAATGTGGTCTACAAATCACACATTTAGCTGACGAACAGCCAAGGGAGAGTACCAATGTGGGCTACAAATCACACATTTAACTGACCAATAGCCAAAGGAGAGCACCAATGTGGTCTACAAATCACACATATGACGGACCAACATTCATGTGTGAGTACTAATGTGGTCTGCAACTGACATCTGTGGCATGATCAGATAACTAGTGGCCCATTAAGATAATCAATAAAAGTATTCATATACAGGCTACTTATTACACACACAACTACACACTACCCTGTCACAGATGGTCTAACGTGGGGGGTGGGGTCGTCACGGTGGTTGACGAAGCCACAAAAACTCATGAGTGGGTAATACATTAATCGCAGTTTGTTTTTAAGTCTCATTATGTTTTTTAATTTAGCTATTTTTTCAATTTTTTTAAAATTTCACAACAGAAAGACAAAAACGTTTAAACCCTGACAGAATAATTTTAAAAGTTATTAATCTCTGTTTGACAAGCTAAGTACACCTTTATTAGAAGTCTTATCGAAAACGTATATTTAGATTGTCAACCAGATGATCTACGGCCCAGGTAAATCGATAATAAGGTCAGGTCTTAAGAGGTGAACAATAGCCTAAACCGGATATAAGACAATTTATATCGTAAAGGCTCAGTGTGTTGCACCTCTGTCGAAATACGCAATCGATTTTCCAAAAATAATCAATAATGAAAAATCAATATCTTTAATATTGGAATGTGATATTCGGTATTGTTAAATTATGGATTAATTAAATCAATGTGACACGGGTGCGAGAATAGAAAGGGTACACTTAGGGTAAGCATTGATTGACTAGCAAGGAAGTGTTAGTGTTGATTTGTATTGAAGTTGTCCGCTATTTAAAACCTGGAGGGTGTTGGGTTGGGGTAGGTCTTAGAGTTAGACTACGGCAGAGAGAGAGCTGGATTGGGTAGGTCTTAGACTTAGACTACGGCACAGAGTGCTGGGTTGAATTTTAATTTTGTACAATTGAACTAAGTCTAAAGTAGTAGAATTGTGTCCGTCAGCTATTTCAGTTGAATGGAAGAAAATAATGCCCAGTTTTTTTAATGCTATTATTTATTGTTTATTTGACACATATTCTACCATCTGTTTAAACGTATGGACAATTCTATTATTGAAAAATAAAAAACTTTCATTATAGCTTTTGGTCAGGTTTGTGATTTTAAGGCGTATTTCATTTTTATTAAGTAAAACCTTGTCTGTAATTGTGTTAATTTTTTAATCTTAAGCTGTACTATTAAATTACTAAATACAGTTAATTAATTTTACAAAATATAATTAAGTTTGGATTGACGGCCACTTTATTTCTTCTTACAGTCATTTTAACTGTAAGTAAAATACCTTTTCGAACCTTAAGGTCCATGGGGAAGGTGAAACAGAGCTCACCTGTTTCAGTGAACTTGGCATATGAATTTATAGTGTGGTCAGCCCGATTCCCAGCTGATTTTTTTCCCTAACATAAGTCAGGTACCGGTCAGAGCTGAGTTTACTCAGGGACGTCCTATGGACACGAGCCCGGATCAGAACTTTCAACCACACCATCCCTAAATATTTGTCTGCCCTACTACAATATTCAAAAAGCAAAATTTCTTCTTAAGAAAAACATTTTTTTTTCACAAACCCAGGCATAGCGGCAAGCGAGTACTGTACAGAAAGGTACTACAACTATTTGCTGTTCGGTAACACCTACGCCACGCGATCTATCTACTGCCCGTTCGGATGTTGTGGGAACTATAACGACGAGTACTGCTGCATAAACAAGTAAGTAAAGCATCCTTCTATGTTAATATTCAAGGGACAAGGTGGTTAGATGGTAGTGTTCATGACTGCTAACCCAAAAGTTTTGAGCTCGGATCCTGGGTTGGCGTCTGCGGTTATGTGAAGAAAAATCTGGCTTTGTGCGTGTTCGTGTTAGTGCGGGTGTGTATGTTGTGTGTGTGCATGAATGTGCGCGTGTGTGCGTGCATGTGTTCATGCGCATGTGTGTAAGGTGTGTTTAGTGTGTGTGGTGTGTGTGGTGTCGGTGTGTGTGGAGTGTGCATGGTAAATGAATGTGTGCGCGCGTGAGTGGGTGCCTGCTCAAATTTGTAAGGTGTGGAATGTGTGTATGTGTGTGTGGTATGTGATATGTGCATGCGCATGTGTGTTTAATGTGTGTGTGTGTGGTTTGTGATATGTGAATGCGCATGAGTGTAATGTACGTTTAGTGTGTGTATGGTGTGTGTGTATCTGCATGATCGATGAATGTGCGCGTGTGTGCATGCACATGAGTGTATGTTTGTGTAGTGTGTGTGTTATGTTTGTGTGTGTATCAAAGAGTCCGTACCAGCAAGATTCCGTCCCCCATCCCCAGCGTGTTTGCATGTGTGTGTGTAGTGTGTGTTATGGTTGTATCAAAGAGTCTCTGTACCCGCACGGTACCATTCACCCATCCCCAGCGCCGGGTACATCATTGGCATTGTCTTTGGTGGCATCGTAGGGCTCATCTTCCTCATCACCATCATCTGCTGCTGTGTTAAACACTCCGCCTCGTCCACTCGGGGCAGGACGATCCAGCCCGCACCGGTCGCTAATGGACACACTACCCACACGACCACCTTCATAACACCCACTGGTAAATGTGAAACGTTTCATATATTTTATTATTTTTTGTCTTTTGTAGCTGTCAGTGTTCTCCTGATTTTTTTTTATCTGCTCATGCTCACCTTAGGGTTTCTTTCATACTTTTTTCTTGGTGGGGGGAGGCATTTCAATCTTTAAGGGAGGGAAGTGCTTGAATTTTCTGATAGGTAGAAAAGACTGATTGAAGTATAGGTTTATTTTCCATAAACATAATATATTTTTCTTCTATTTCAACCGGGTGGAAAAGTAGGGTAGAGGGGGGGGGAATTGGGCAATGCTCTTTCAAAGAAATACCTGATATAGATCTTTCTTGAATCATTTAACAGGATTTAGATTATTTTATGTAACGTCTGATGGTAGTAGGTCGTGCTGCGACGAAAACAAGTTATGATAAAGCATACATTATTGTTAGATTAATGGTTTTTACATTTTATTTTTTAATTTTAAAAAATGTATTACCAAAACTACGTTCAATTATTTTTTTTAAAAAAAAAGGTTCTTGAAATGTCTTGAGTAGCCCTGGAACTAACGTGTGCACTCTCTCTCTCCAACAGCCCCGCCCAACTACTCCTCCGTGGCCTACAGCACCAGCTACAGCCAGCCGTTGAACGGAGCGGCGCCTCTACCCCAGTACTCCTACCCACCCGCCCAGTTCGCCCCGCCCTACCCCGGGTACAACCAGAACCTCGGACCTCCCGTATACTCCAAGCCTGGGAGCAACATTGATCCCCCGCCGTCATACAGCTCCCCTGCGCCCTACGACTGAGTCTTGTCCCCCCCCCCCCGCCGTCATACAGCTCCCCTGCGCCCTACGACTGAGTCTACCACCCCCCCGCCGTCATACAGCTCCCCCGCGCCCTACGACTGAGTCTACCACCCCCCCGCCGTCATACAGCTCCCCCGCGCCCTACGACTGAGTCTACCCCCCCCCCGCCGTCATACAGCTCCCCTGCGCCCTACGACTGAGTCTTGTTCCCCCCCCCCCCCGCCGTCATATAGCTCCCCTGCGCCCTACGAGTGAGTCTACGATCATCCCCACCCCCAATCATACAGTTTCCCTGTTATCTAAAATTAAGTCTCCGCACCCAGCCCCCCCCCCCCCACTAACATGCACCTGCGAAATACGGCTGAGTATAAGATCCCCTCCCTCCCCCCCAAATCATACAGTTCCCTGTGGTCGAAAATTAAGTTTCCGCCCCCCCCCCCACCCCCCCACCCCCGCAACATACGCTGGCGACCTACGTCTGAGTCAGTGAGTCTACAATCCCCCCCACTCCAACCACAGTTCCTAAAATTAAGTCCTGAAATTAAGTCTCCGCACCCAGCCCCCCTTCCACTAGCATTCGCCTGCGACCTACGGCTGAGAATAAGATCCCCCCCATCATACAGTTTCCCTGTGATCTAAAATTAAGTCCCCGACCCCCCCCCCCCCCCCCCACCACTCCCTTCCACCAAACGCCTTCAACCTACGACTGAGTTTCTGACTCGCAATGTGCCTATGTTGATTGTTTGCTACTTATACATTCGTCATCAGGATGTGTTCGGTTTGTTTTTTCTCCTTAGTATCACTATCTAAAACCTAATGCTTGCTTTAAATTTACCCTAATCTTCACCATTGCAATAGCTACTAACCTTAGTCCTGACCTGAAATTTTATACCAGCTCTAAATATAGCATTGACTAAGACCATAGTCCTGACCATAACTTTACACTTGCCTTAACTGTAATACGACGATGACCCTAACTCTGACCCCACCTCTGATCCAAACTCTTACCACACCGATCCCAGGGTCCCTAGCATTGACACGATTTCTGACCCTAACTCAGGGGTCGGCAACCTTTTGAAGCGGAAGAGCCAAAAGTTACAATTTTCAAAATTTCCCTGGTTTTAAAGAGCCACTAACATTTTTTTTATTTCAAATATTTTATTTTTTTATTAAGATTATTAGGTTTTGTTCAAGGAGCTGGAGAGCCGCATCTTGATATCAAGGGAGCCGCATGCGGCTCGCGAGCCGCAGGTTGCCGACCCCTGCCCTAACTCATCAAAAGTTATACCGGAAAAACGTTCCACGAAAAGGTAGACTAATGCCAACAGACGTTTGCACAAAAACCGATTGTTTTTGAAATCTCGATCCTTTATCAACCTACACATATCCCGGTATTTCACTGTATTCAACGTTATTAAATAACGTTCATATATGTTTGCATGAACGTAAAATGTATTTAACATGATGTTATTTATATTGTTCTTGTCCTAAATTATTATTTGATGCTTACATTTACATATTTGCTAATTTATTTAATTAGAAATGATATAACATTCATATTTTTGTGTTTAATACCAAGAGTGCCTTCCCATATTTGACCAAGTGAGAAGAATAGAATGTATCACATTGTCACCGAATATCAATGGTGCTATCCTAAGTGCTTTAAAAATTATTGTTTAGTTAGGTATTAAGAAAAATATTGAAGATCGTATTTGTTTGATTGTAGTTCTAAGTAATACATTTAGTAAATTTACTTAAATTTCAATAAAAAGATAGTGGTCATTTTTATAATCGATTACTGAATTACAACAATTTATATATGTTAGTGTTTACACCTATGTAATGTTACAATATACTGTACAATATAATGTTGTGTTATAAATAAACAGTCTAAAAACATTTGGAGTTTTATTTTACCTAATCACTTCCACTATAAAAAAAAGGTATAGTTCAGATAAGTCCATAATACTAATAAACCTGGAGTGATCTCCCCTAAACTTTCTCGAATATTCTTATTATATAAGAAAAAAAAAACGAATATGAATTTATAAAGTACTAATATTCCACACTATTATACGGATATTATTTGCCGTTCACTTGGTGCGCAGTTCTTTTTTTTTCTACGAGATTCTATTCTATTTTAAAAGTTTAAGTAATTAAAAATGGATTAAAATCATGTCTATATCCCGAGTTGCTATCTGCTGTGTGTTATATAAGAATATTCGAGAAAGTTTAGGAGAGATCACTCCCGCTTTATTTGAATTAATACGACAATAGACCGAGTTGGTGGTACCAACTCACAAGATGACAAAAAAAAAAATAACAACTCGCGACTGTTTGTAAAGGGAGTTTTAAATGTCAATGTCATCCAGCTCATGACAGAACTTGACCAGGTGCCCGTCCCGGCACGGCTTGTAGCAGCACTCACACAGCATGCTGTCCGTGGCGTCCGCGCTTGCCCTGGTCAGGAAAGACGTGGCTGTCCTCTTATTCAGCATCCTGGTGAGTTGGCCGCCGTTTTCTGTGCGTACAGGGAAGATTTATAGGGGATTCATTATATAACGGTGTGGCTGAGAGATTGAGTATCCTATAGGGCTTTTAAGTCTCTTTGCTTCTCTTAAAATTTGAAATCTCGTTAGCCATGGTCAGGTGAATTCTCAAAGTATCATTATCAGTTGTTTTTTTTACGATTTTAAATAACTTAACAATAGCGTAAGTAACATTTATTTTATTTTTTTTACCGATTTATAAATTATATTCACAATTGGTTTGAAAAAAATAATAGCTGGCTGGTATGATAAGAAATTGGCGACCTACTTACAAGCCCTATTACTGATCAGAAAATGTCGAGTTCGGTTCCTTAACATTTGGTAGGGTTAGACTACACACTGCTGAAGGGTACCTGAATCAAGTCAGGGGGGGGGGAATAAATAAAAGATCGTTCGCCATTGAGCTGGCCAAACTATCAGAGGTAAAAAAAAAATAGATGAACTCTACTTCATCTACGAAAATTGTCCATGAGGGTTGAAAGTAAGTACTCACAGCTACCACAGACCTACCCCTTGGGAGGTCAGCGTGTACCTACCTCCCTTGTGGCTAACAAAAACCAACTTATCAGAGAGTAAACTTGTTTCTGACCCCCCCCCCCCCCCCCAATACGCAAACACTATTACCACAAATCCACTTCATAGAAGGTAAGTGTGTATACTCCCCTAACTCCATCGTTTCTTCGACAAACCCACCTTTTAGAAATGGGGTTCCCCCACTCACTCATTGCTACGGCAAACCAATCTCCCAGAACGTAAGTTTGCCCCCCCCCCCCCACCCGCTTATCCCTCATTGTTACCGCGAACATCTCCCAGAAGCTAAGTGTGTCCCCCCCCCTCCTTAAATCTACCAAAAACCCACCTCACACAAACTTAGCATGTGTCTGTCATTCTCCACCCCCTCCCGTATAGCTATCATAAACCCACCTTTCAGACGGTTAGCGTGTGTGTGGTCCCTCACATATTGCTACCATAAACCCACCTTTCAGAAGGTAAGCGTGTGCCCCCCCCCCCCCCTGTATCTACCATAAACCCACTTTTCAGAAGGTAAGCGTGTGCCCCCCCCCTGTATCTACCATAAACCCACCTTTCAGAAGGAAAGCGTGTCCGCCCTCCCCTGTAGCTACCATAAACCCACCTTTCAGAAGGTAAGCGTCTGTGTGCCCCCCCTCCCCCTGTAGCTACCATAAACCCACATTTCAGAAGGTAAGCGTGTGCCCCCCCCCCCTGTAGCTACCATAAACCCACATTTCAGAAGGTAAGCGTGTGCCCCCCCCCCCCCTGTAGCTACCATAAACCCACATTTCAGAAGGTAAGCGTGTGCCCCCCCCCCCTGTAGCTACCATAAACCCACCTTTCAGAAGGTAAGCGTGTGCCCCCCCCCCCCTGTAGCTTCCATAAACCCACCTTTCAGAAGGTAAGCGTGTGTGTGCCCCCCCCCCCCATGTAGCTACCATCAACCCACCTTTCAGAAGGAAAGCGTGTGTGTGCTCCCCCTCCCCCTGTAGCTACCATAAACCCACCTTTCAGAAGGTAAGCGTGCCTCCCCCCCCTGTAGCTACCACAAACCCACCTTTCATAAAGTAAGCGTGTGCCCCCATCCCACCTGTAGCTACCATAAACCCACCTTTCAACAGGTGTCTCTTTGTCCTCGTCTTGTCGCACTTCTTGAGAAAGTTGATGGCCAGGTCAGTGCCACACAGGTGGCGCTCGTGCTGGTAGTTTTTGAACTTGCACTTCGCCGTCTGCGCCCCCACCCCACGGTTCACCAACGCCACTGTGAGTAACACCACCATCACGCCAGCCACCATGACAAGCCACTGGACCGACATGCTTTAATTAAACCTGGAATTAACAGATCCAAAAGAAACGAACAAGTATGACAGAAGTTAGTTAAATAAAAGATAAATTAACAAAGCTTATTTAAACTAAAAAACTTTAATATATGCAGTAATAGAAATAAAAATACATGCAAATCATTTTGTTTAACTATAATTACACAAAAATAAAAACTTGTAACTTTATAGAGACTTTCTATTATAAGAAAATCCCTCGGAGAGAGTTCAAGCACTTAGATCACCATCAACATGTACAGCCACCTTTAGAAATAGTATACATCCAACTAAATATCTGCCTATACAACTATTATGTGATGCAAATCTTTAAGTATACGACTGCTAACCCGAAAGTTTCGAGTTCGAATCCACGTGCATGCACGTAAAACTTCCCTGAGTTCACCCAGCTCTAATGTGTACCCAACTCACGTTAGGTAAAGTAACGACGGCTGGGCATTGTGCTGACCACACTATCTCTTCATATGCTGAGATCACAGAAACAGGTGAACTCTACTTCACTTGCCCTATCGACCTTCAGGTACGAAACGGAACTTTACTAAATACACCCATCCTTAGAAACTTGACCCTTACCTGAAACTTAAGCTGATTCTTAAAATACACGAGCTATAGCTCTCTATTCCAATATTCGTCGACCTGAACACAAACAGTCATCTACTTATAAATAAACCAATTAAACGAGCTTTATGTTGGGTATTTCATTATTTTTTCATACTTTTATTGCGTTTCTAGTACTGGATTCAATTAGCACATCATCGATTTCTAATCTGTGCGTGAACAGCATAAAAATTAAATACAGTAAGACTTCAACAGCTGGTCTTAAGTGTTTACAAGACAACGATCTTTAATAACACGAGGTGTAAAGTGTTTTGTTTTGTTTTTTTTAATTGACCATTTCTTCTTTCTTATTTTCTATTCTTAAATAATTTGTATATCTATCTATATACTACTAAAAGTCAAGTTTGTTTACATGTTTGAATATTTATTTGTTTGTTTGCCTGATTGACTATTGTGATATGTTCGACTCTACCGGGACAGCTGTAAAATAGTATGTAGGTAGAGAATAATTTTTTAATGCAGACAGACTGTTAATCACAAATTTATTTAAAGACGTTAATTAATTTATTGATTTATTCATTGTTAAATTAACCGTATTTTTTTTAAAAATGTTAATACTTTGAATAAACTTTTGTGGGGATAGTGACGTCCCTTGATAGTGACGTCAGAGTTTTTTGTTGACTCTTTAGTACAATAAAATGGCGGCGTCTATCGAAGAAAATTGTGTTCCCATTCCAAAGTTTAACGCGTTCTAAATCTAATTTTCTGTCGGTCATAACTTTAACAATACGTCCGTTTGCTGTATTTATTACGTTCCAACACTTATATCAATTTTCAACTGTCTTTTTTCATTTAGTTTTACAATAAATTTCTCTAGATCTAAAGATCAGCTGTCGAAGGAAATTTATGAATCTAGCCTAGATCTAGATCTAGATCTAGGTCACTAAACTCAATGTAAATTCTAAATCTAGACTTAATGTAAATTCTACATCTAGAATCTATTTCAGGCCTTAATACATCTAGAATCTATTTCAGGCCTTAATTATTTTATATAAATCTTTGTTTGGCTAATTTAAGATAAAATTTAATTTGAAAGTTACTACTTCTAGACTAGACGCTCGAAATCAAGTTGCATCAAAGTAATTTGTGACGTCACGAGTAAATAGCTAAGTTTGTAGCGTAGTCCGCTCTCATGCGAGTGGTATAGGTTCTAGACCAATATGTCAATGATATTTTTTTTTCAATTTTTTTTTTTTAGATGTTAATGATAAAAAATGATAATGATCTGAACTTGGCAGGATACAGGGCAGGTGAAGTAGAGTTCATCTGTTTCTTTGTCCTAACCATATTAAAGGATAGTGTGGTCAGAGACATGCTCGGCTGGAATCGTTTTTTAAACGATAAAAACATGTTGTCTGAGACTTGGCGGGACACTGGGCAGGTGAAGTAGAGTTGAGTAGGTCACATGTGACGTCAGTATATGAAGGGATAGTCCGAAATCGGTGTTTTCGGTGTTTTTAAAAGATAAGAAACATATTTTTGAATGTGGGCTCTGTTTTGTGACGATAAGTGACACTGCAGTAGCGTAGCGAGGAGGGGGGGGGGGGGGCGGGGTGGGGAGGCGGGGGGGCGGGTGGGGAGGCGGGGGGGGGGGGAAAGGGGAGGCGGGGGGGGAGGGGAGGCGGGGGGGGGGGAGGGGAGGCGGGGGGAGGTGAAGGGGGGGGGGGGGGGCGGGGGGACGTATGTTGGGGCGCCAAAATGGTTTGGAAAAATAAATTGAAAGGTTGAGGGGGGTTCAAATCGAAAGTTTGAGTGGGGGGGGGGGGGAGGGGGTGCACATCAAAAGTTTGAGGGGGGGGGGGGGGGTTGAAAATCGAAATCTTGGGGGGGGGGGGGTTAAAATCGAAAAGTTTGTCCCCGGGCGCCGGGAAGGCTCGCTATGCCTCTGAGTGACAGACGTGATGTTTTTTGATGGATGACCCCCGAAACCCACAGTTATCCAAGGGATGACGGGTATTCTAGTATACTACTAAAAGTCAAGTTTGTTTGCATGTTTGAATATTTATTTGTTTGCCTGATCGAAAATTGTGATATGTTCGACTCGATCTGGAAAGCTGTAAAATGGTATGCAGGTAGAGAATAATTTTTTAATGCAGACAGACTGTTGATCACAAATTTATTTAAAGACGTTAATTAATTAATTGATTTATTCATATGCAGATTAACCCATTTTTTAAAAAAATATTTGAAAAGCCACTAGACTCGGCGGGACCGTGACGTCACAGGTTTTTGTTTACTCTTTAGTACAATAAAATGGCGGCGTCTATCGAAGAAAATTGTGTTCCCATTCACAAGTTTAACGCGTTCTAAATCTAATTTTCTGTCGGTCATAACTTTAACAATACGTCCGTTTTCTGTATTTATTACGTTCCAACACTTATATCAATGTTCAACTGTCTTTTTCATTTAGTTTTACAATAAATTTCTCTAGATCTAAAGATCAGCTATCGAAGGAAATTTATGAATCTAGCCTAGATCTAGATCTAGCCTAGATGTAGGTCACTAGGTTTCTATGTAAATTCTAGATCTAGACTTAATGTAAATTCTACATCTAGAATCTATTTCAGGCCTTAATTATTTTATATAAATCTTTGTTTGGCTTATTTAAGATAAAATTTAATTTGAAAGTTAGTACTACTAGACTTATTTTTAGATCTAGATCTAGAATCTATACGCCGTAAATCAAGTTGCATAAGGAGATACATAGTATAGTATAAAAATTCACTTGTGACGTCACGAGTAAATAGCTAAAATGGTAGCGTAGTCAGCTTTCACGCTGGAGGCACGGGTTCTAGACCAATATGTCAATGAAATTTTTTTTTTCAATTTTTTTTTTTTAGATGTGAATGATAACGTTGCCTATCTGAACTTGGCAAGATACAGGGCAGGTGAAGTAGAGTTCATCTGTTTCTTTGTCCTAAGCATATGAAAGGATAGTGTGGTCAGATACATGCTCGGCTGGAATTGTTTTTTAAACGATAAAAACATGTTGTCTGAGACTTGGCAGGACACTGGGCAGGTGAAGTAGAGTTGAGTAGGTCACCTGTGACGTCAGTTTATGAAGGGATAGTCCGAAATCGGTGTTTTCGGTGTTTTTAAAAGATAAAAAACATATATTTGAATGTGGGGTCTGTTTTTTGTGACGATAAGTGACACTGCAGTAGCGTACCGAGGAGGGGGGGGGGACGGTAGGGGAGGGGAGGCGGGGGGTGGGGAGGGGAGGCGGGGGGTGGGGGGGGGAAGGGGAGGCGGGGGGTGGGGAGGGGGAAGGGGGGGGGGGCATATGTTGGGGCGCCAAAATGGTTTGGAAAAATAAATTGATAGGTTGAGGGGGGTTCAAATCGAAAGTTTGAGTGGGGGGGGGGGTGCACATCAAACGTTTGAGGGGGGGGGTTCAAATCGAAAACTTTGTCCCCGGGCGCCGGGAAGGGTCGCTATGCCTCTGAGTGACAGACGTGATGTTTTTTTATGGATGACCCCCGAAACCCACAGTTATCCAACGGATGACGGGTATTCTAGTTGTATTTAAAAATAAAATAAAACTGGTCATCAAAGACCAATATTACCATTAAAGGCCACTTAGGGTCATCCATAAATGACGTCAGGGGGGAGGGGGTCCGTTATTTTGTGACGATGTGTGATGAGGGGGAGGGGGGGGGGGTCAGATGTTGCGACGTCGCATTTTTGCATTATAAAAAAGCAATGTTAGAAAACGAATTTTAGACGTTATTCCGCGTTTTAGATAACTGTTTTAATTAATTGTAATAGCTTAGACAATATTTTGGAAAAATATCGATGTTTAAAAAAAATTCAACTGCAATTTTGAGTGGGGTTGTAGGTTGAGGTGTGACGTCATTTTAGGGGGGGGGTCTGGCTTTTTGTGACGTGTGACGGAGGGGAGGGGGGTGGTAAAAATCGTCAAAAAAAGCGTGAGGTCAGTTATGGATGACCCCTTATCACAAAGTACATTTTATTTAAAAAATTTTCTTTGTGAATGTCAATTAACCTGAATTCGATGATCAAGGTTGATTTTGGTAATTAGTTATGGCCAGGGTTTTTATTTCAGCTAATGTAAAAGGTTTGACGCAGCAAGGGAAGTAACTACAATTTTCGAAAAGACACGGTTTTGGGCGACTCCTTTCAGCTATGCCCATTTACGTCAAGAAGTTTTTGCTTGCTAGCCCTTCATAGTTTTCTTTCTACTTGTAGGTTCCAGCGCTGTTCCTGCTAGGTGATGCTTTCTTCTGTTCTTCCCATGGTATATCCACCCTATCCCCACCCAAAACTGACAAAAAGAATGACAGATAATTACATCTAATCTTTTGCAGTGGCGTAGCGAGGTCGGGTGTCACCCGGTGCGG